GCGGCAGTGGGCCAGGCTCTCGGCAGCCTGGTATGTCAGAAGAAGTGGCTGACCCACCGCGTGCTAGAGCTGAGCAAGAAGAAACGCGGCTTGTTTGCAGATGCCGTTAGAGAATTTGTGGAGGTGACGCTGCAGAGAGCAACTGATCCTGGGGCCTTAACGGGGTCAGAGTTCTTACAGGAAGTGAGGTCATCACTCACTTTGCTGAGAGAGACTCTCTTGGACTACCCCGATATCCAGGCACTGCTGGACAGTATGACCGACCTAAGTGATTCCGAGATAGGTGAGTGAGCTCAGAGTGGGACATTTTTGAAAATGGTTCTTTCTAATGAAAAGTAAACTCTCACTGTTTTATTCTTTCTTAACTTTTATCATGTGTGCCTCCATTCACATACTACTACAACTGCTGCGACTGCTACAATGACTACTAGGGCTATTACAATTACTAATGAATAGTGCTGTCAGGCGATTAAAAAAATTGTGTGATTAATTAATTAGGGTCTGTAATTAATTATTGTAATTAATCTATTTTTTAATCTCATCTAAAAATTACTGAGAAAACCCCGATTTTTGTTTTAAATTTGTTACATTATTGAGAACTCTCACATGCTGCACTATTTTCACCTCTACACTCCTCACCGCAGCTGACTAAGCCCGCCCAACTCCAAAGGGAGCCTATCAGCTTCGGCTAAACAAGCCTCAACATAATGGCAACCAATCAATGTCCACTTCAGGCTGTGACTGACAGTTGTTTCCCCACCCTCAACAACTCGAACACAGGAGGCCAACGCATAAAAAGGGCTATTAGAAAAAAGCAACTAACCTACAGAAACAATTAAGGTACAGATTAAAATTTAGATTAACACGATAAAAAACGCGCTGTGATGTAATTAATTAATCGCAATTAACGCGATAGTTTGACACCTCTACTAGTAATCATCATCTTCATAATAATAATGATGGTAACCATTATCATGTATTAGGGGGAATACTTTATTTTAAATCCAAAAAGGCCACATTTTATAGTCTATATGCACTATGTACAAGATACCACCACTGTTGGAAATTATGATTGCCTTTTTGAATTGTCTGTGTCGGTCATGTAATATTTCCGTGTCTGTGTCATTTCTTTAGACTCCCTGGTAGAGATGTCAGTGCATAAGGTGGCCCTTAAGCCTGTGTTGGCTCACATCTACTCTTGCATTCATATCTGCCGCACCAATGACGGCAGTCTGCAACGGTTGGAGAGCAAACAACGTGTTCTGGAAGACAACGGAGTGGAGGCGCTGGGAGGAGCGGCTGGAGTTGGAGTTCCTGACTCAGTCACTCTTGAGCGGATCCAGCAAAGGTGGTTGAGGATGCACGAGGCCTACTCCCCAAACAAGAAGGTCCATATCCTGCTCAAAATCTGCAAGAGCATCTACCACAGCATGAGTGCCAGCGCCAGCTCAGGTAGCCTGCTGATTATTTTTATTGCTTTTATTTTTATTTTTTAAAGCACATGGTTAAGAGGAGAAACCATACCCAGCATGGCCAAAGCACCAGTCTCTTTTCTTACAGATGTGGTGTTTGGAGCTGATGATTTCCTGCCTTGCTTGACATGGGTACTTTTGCGCAGTGAACTGGTCAATTTGCAGATAGACACCGACTACATGATGGAGCTACTGGACCCCACACAGCTGCAGGGAGAAGGTCCGGAAGATAGAGTAACGCTCACCTACATGCAAAAACAAACAAACAAGCAAAATTACAGTGCCACCAAAACACATGCGTCATGGTTTATACTTTTCAGCTTTTTTGATAGCTTCAGATGCAAATGATGCATTTCGACAGTTTCATTATTGTTGTAGATACTTTATGTGTGGATTTCTGTTTGGCCAAGTGATTCCCAAGCACTCTGCCGTGGCAAATTAGTGTGCTACGAGAGAGGTATGATTGAACTATACATTGGTCTAAAAATTATTTTTAAAGATCAGTTTGTGTCTTTCTTCACTTCCTGCAAATATTCCCGCATGAACAAAATGCACACAAGAGTCAAACCCTGGACCTTGGATCTGTGAGGCTGACGTGCAAACCACTAGACTGTGATTCATTCATTAAATTACAACCATATTATGCACCCAATAAATGTGCAATGTGTTCGAGGTGCCATTGCTTTTACAATTCTCACATTTTTTTTCCATCAACAGGTGGCTACTACCTGACAACCCTGTACGCCGCTCTCTACTACATCAGCAGCTTCCAGCCACGCTTGGCCGCCCGTCAGCTTAGCGTCGAAGCCCAACACTCTCTCAGCCAATGGCATCGCAGGCGCACCCTGCACAGCAACCAATCCCGTCACAGTACGCACCGACGGACCATTCGCAGACAGATGTGTCCTGAGGAGTCAGTGCAGGCTTCCGTGACAGAGAGTTCGGATGTAGAAGAAAGTGGGGAAGATGAGCCGCAACGGGAGACAGAGAGCGACGCAGAGACTGAAGGTGAACGCACTGAGCGGCAGCATGGACAGGATGCAGACGAGGACACTGAATGAGGATTGGAGGAAGAAAGGACATAAGATTAAAAATGTAAGACAACGTGGACTATGTTTGCTGAAATGGCTACTACATTGGCTTTAACCACGGCTAACTACCACATAAAGTCAAAACATGACTTGTTCAGGATTTAAACGCAGGAAAACCCTTCCGTCACACTGAGCCTACAACCTGAATCACATTACACAGGCGACTTGGTAGTTGGCAAGGCCAATTTTTTTCTTCATAAATCATACATTCTACATGTTTTTTTATAAATCATATACACACATATACAGAGCTGAGTTAATCCTACATTCTGTTCATTTATTGTGCATTTTTTTTGACTGGGGCTAAGAATATCCATCCATCCATCCATCCATTTTCTGATTCGCTTTATCCTCACAAGGGTCGCGGGGGGTGCTGGAGCCTATCTCAGCCGTCTTCGGGCAGTAGGCGGGGGACACCCTGAACCACTTGCCAGCCAATTGGAGGGCACGCAGAGACAAACAGCCATCCACGCTCACACTCACACCTAGGGGCAATTTAAAGTATTCAATCAGCCTGCCATGCATGTTTTTGGAATGTGGGAGGAAACCGGAGTACCCGGAGAAAACCCACACAGGCCCGGGGAGAACATGCAAACACCACACAGGGAGGCCGGAGCTGGAATTGAACCCGGTACCTCTGCACTGTGAGGTCGACGCGCTAACCATTGGACCACCGAGCCGCCTGCTAAGAATATTATCATTGTTATTGTCATACATGTACAGGAATGACATTTGCAACTATATCTTTTCAAACTATGCAAGCCGCCCGCTAAGAATATTATCATTGTTATTGTCTGTCATACATGTACAGTAATGACATTTGCAACTATATCTTTTCAAACTATGCAAAAAGCCTGTCTGACATGAATTAATGATTCCTCCTTGATGAATGTTTCAGAGAAAGTGAAGAGTCCTTTTATCTGCTACGTTGCAGGTACAGTACTTGTTTTTGTAGCTGCAGATCTCCAGCCTGTGTCAAAACGTCCTCTGACGTGACTTCTGTTTCTTACGTTGAGGATGTATGATCATTGGCATGCTGTTTTACTCGTTCACTGTTCAAATTTCCTCTGTGAACGTTCAAACACCAACAGGTGCATATTTTTCCAGGCGCTTGTGCAGGTGTGGTGGTAGAAACACAAAGTTCTCGGGACGGTTTCAAACTCCCTTTTGAAAAAAAAAAAAAACACATTTATAGCATAGATTTCAAGAGTCACACCATTAGCACTATTTCCTTTGATTTAGCAACCACAAGTACATTTCAAATCTGTTGGAGGAGACACATATCAAATTTGGCTCGGGGTATTTTTTAGGTCAACTTGGGGAAAAGTCACCAAATTTCACGGTGGAAGAATTACATTGTAGGTATTTTTATTCCTGGCAAAAATGGGTCACATTTGATCACGACAGTATGTGGGGTTGAAGTGATGTTGTGTATGCGAGAGCTTTTCCCTTGAAATGCATGCGGGCATATTTGAATTGAAGAAAGACACCAACATAAGGTACTTGTTTTTGCAGCTGCAGATTTCCAGCCCGTGTCAAAACGTCCTCGGACGTGACTTCTGTTTCTTACGTTGAGGATGTATGATCATTGGCATGCTGTTTTACTCGTTCACTGTTCAAATTTCCTCTGTGAACGTTCAAACACCAACAGGTGCATATTTTTCCAGGCGCTTGTACAGGTATGGTGGTAGAAAGTTCTCGGGACGGTTTCAAACTCCCTTTTGAAATCGTTTACCAATGTCCCAAGGAAAAAAAAAAAAACACATTTATAGCATAGATTTCAAGAGTCACACCATTAGCACTATTTCCTTTGATTTAGCAACCACAAGTACATTTCAAATCTGTTGGAGGAGACACAGATCAAATTTGGCTCGGGGTATTTTTTGGGTCAACTTGGGGAAAAGTCACCAAATTTCACGGTGGAAGAATTACATTGTAGGTATTTTTATTCCTGGCAAAAATGGGTCACATTTGATCACGACAGTATGTGGGGTTGAAGTGATGTTGTGTATGCGAGAGCTTTTCCCTTGAAATGCATGCGGGCATATTTGAATTGAAGAAAGACACCAACATAAATTGAGCTTGTGCTTATGAGTGAGTGAAAAACGGACTATCCGAGCCAGATGCCCCTCTTCAACTCAAAAAGACAGTAATACCTTTGTACCACTAGGGGGCAGTTATGCACGTATCCGACCTTCTATTCTTCTAACGCTTGTCCTCATTGAAGGTGCGCACAATGGGTCACCAAATGATAGACCCCAAGTAGCACATCAGTAGCTTGCAGGCCAGGCAGCTGTTTGGATAATGGATGGGTTGATGCATTTTACATATAAATATGCTGGTCAATGGGGCAAATTTGCAAATTCGGAAGTGTGTATGAAAGAGGTAGCATTTTTCATTTATCAATTGAAATAATTTTTTTAAAAGGCCCACTGCTGCAGTTGCAGAAGCATGTGTATTACATGCATCACAATTATTACCGCTTTTAATTAGATTTTTTATATAATATGTCACTTTTTCAGTCAGCTCTTTTAGTTTTATTGAGTGGTACCTGTAAAAATTTGCATGATTCAATATCAAGCAAAGTCAATGACAGCAGGCGACACTATTGTTGCAAGCTGCTACTGCTGCTGTTGTTGTCTTGACTTGGAGGTCGATAAAGAACACAAGAGCAGTTTTGGACCAATTCATTCTTTGGCAATGAAGGCCGCGTTGAAGCTAACAAGGAAACCGATTGAGCGCACGACTTGTTTGAGGAACGCACGGAGCCTTGAGGACATCAAGAAATCTTGAGCACAAACTAACTTGCAGCCAGGAAAAGAAGAGCGAGATACATTTGAGATGTACGACTGCAGAATGGCGGCTATGTTCCAACCACCTGAGTCAGCTGACAAGCTTACACAGTGGTGGGAGGGCCAAGGTATTGTACTTGTATTTCCAGTGAGAATTAATTCATAAACAGCAGGTAGGTCGACAAGTAGTGTGTTGGAAGCTGTACCCATGCGCATGTGATAATGCTGAAATTGAGTCCAGACATAAAATGGACCTAAAAGCCCAAGTGAAATTACTTAATTCCTTTCATGCACCAAGTAACCTGATAACATGATTAGCTGTCCACTGTGGTAACCGCTGTTCCTGAAAGGGTTAAACGGCTTTGCTTCGGTTTGGTACATTTTATTACATGAAGACGAAACATACAAACATATACGCAAAATAATAATTTTTAAAAACTCATACATGATTACCCCAGACCATAACCAACCCCACTCCCCCACCACCCCGCTTCACTCAGCTGCTCTCCACCTACCTCTGGAACAAGTACATTTGCCCCCAACAAGTCATTTTGGAAAAGAAAATATATGTACCAGGACTAGAAACACATTGCATTGCAATTCTGTTATCAATCACGATGTAATCAACAGCATGTATGTATCCAATATCCTCATGAATGCACATAAATGACGCACAAACACATGTAAATAGTTATACGCAGGGGCACTTATGTAAATGTTACACACAAACAGCTCAATGTACACGCATATGGAAACATCGATATGTACCAGGACTAGAAACACATTGCATTGCAATTCTGTTATCAATCACGATGTAATCAACAGCATGTATGTATCCAATATCCTCATGAATGCACATAAATGACGCACAAACACATGTAAATAGTTATACGCAGGGGCACTTATGTAAATGTTACACACAAACAGCTCAATGTACACGCATATGGAAACATCGCTGAATTCTTAATGACCAAGCCAATCAAATTTGCCTAATGAGACATCTGGCTTTTTGCCTGCATGTTGATGTCAAGCACCGAAACAGCTGGCAAAACACACACACACACACACACACACACACACACACACACACACAAGCAAAACTTAAGGATGTGTTAAAAGGAGAATGAGAATGAATGATCAGAACAAGACTGGCGCATGGTCGCCCCACCATATATTTCATATGCAATATATTATGCATACATGAGTGTGCGTCTAAAATACTCACCACATTCATGAATTAGATATATGACTGTGTGTGTATGAGCGAGAGTGTGTGTAAAATGGGAGTGTGGGGGGGGGGCGGAGGACAGA